CACCTAGTACGGTAGAAAGTCATTGGACAAAGAGTCCTTGCTGGCAGATGCCAGACTGCCACCGACTCCTCTCTTGTCTTGGGAAAGTCACAGCATCTCTCTGAAACCCTGTTTTATCCTTAATGTTGTTGTTGTTGTTAAGTGCCATCAAGTCGTCTCCGACTCACAGTGACTTTATGTACAACAGAACGAAACACTGCCTCGTCCTATGCCAGCCTCACAATACTTGCTATACCAGACCCCATCATTGCAGCCTTCGTATCAATCAATCTCATTGAGGGCCTTCTGCTTTCTCATTGACCATCCACTTTACCAAGCATGACATCCTTCTCCAGGGAATGGTCCCTTCTGACAACATGACCAAAGTAGGTCAAACAAAGTCTGGCCATTCTTCCCTCCAAGAAACATTCCAGCTGTACTTCTTCCAGGACAGATTTGTTAGTTCTCCTGGCAGTCCATAGTACTTTCAGTATCCTTTGCCAATGCCACAACTCAAAAGCATCAACTCTTCTTTCATTTTCCTTATTCATTCTGGAGCTCCCACGAGCATATGGAAAACAAAACAAAACAAAACAAAACAAAAACCTCATTGCTGTTGAGTCAGATCCAACTCAAAGCGACCCCTCCTTGGGTTTCCAAGGCTGTATCACTACAGAAGTCGATTGCCCAATCTTCCTTCTGAAAAGTGGCTGGTGGTTTTGAACTGCCAGCCTTCTGGTTAGCAGTCAAATGGCTTAGTCACTATGCTACCAGAGCTCCTCACATACATATGAATTGACTGAAAATACCATGGCTTGGTTTGTTGTTGTTGTTGTTATGTGCTGTCAAGTCAAACCCGACTCATAGCGACCCCTCCTTGGGTTTCCGAGGCAGTATCACTACGGAAGTAGGATTGCCCAACCTTCCTTCCGAGGAGTGGCTGGTGGGTTTGAACCGCCAGCCATCTGGTTAGCAGGGAAGTGTCTTAGCCACTATGCTACCAGAGCTCCCTTGACTTGGTTTAGGCACACCTTAATCTTCAAAGAGACATCTTTGCTATTCAGCACTTCAAAGAGGTCTTTTGCAGCAAATTTTCCCAGTGCAATACATCATTTGATATCTTGACTACTGCTTCCATTGGTATTGATTGTGGAAATCTCTGACAACTTCAATCTTTTCTCCATTTATCGTCATGCTTCCTATTGGCCCAGTTATCCTTAATATGAAGGCAAAAATTCTATTCACTCAACTTCTCTCATGGAGGTGTGTGTGTGTGTGTGTGTAGGGGGGGGGGTCAAATAAAATAAGGGATGGATGCTTTGTTGATGACAGATTATGCTTGTTCTATATCACTTTGGTCCACTCAGTCCAGAATTCAGTCTGGGATTCATATGTGTTTCAGTGGAAGAATTCTCTCCTTCCATGTGGGAGACCCAGGTTCGATTCCCAGCCAAGGCACCTCACATGCAGTCATTTCCCATCTGTCAGTGGAGGCCTGCATGTTGTTTTGATCCTGAGCAGGTTTCAGAGGAGCTTCCAGACTAAGATGTGCTAGGAAGAAAGGCCTGGCAATCTGCTTCCAAAAATCAGCCAATGAAAACCCTATGGATCACAATAGTCTGATCCACAGCTGATCATGGGGCTGGCCCAAGACTGGGTGACATTCTGCTCACTTGTATATGGAGTCACTGTGGGTCAAGGGTTAACTCAACAGCAGCTAAAGACAACAATAGCATCTGTCTCGATGGTTAAAGGTGTTTTTTAAACCAGAATCTTTCCACCTAATCAGAAGTATTCTGGAAGGGCTCACTTCAAGGGCCAGCACCACCTGCTCCACCCCCATTCCTTGTTTCCTCCTCTTTCTAGAAAGCAGAAGGCTGCAACAGAGAAGGAGAGGGAGCAATACAGCAGCAGATAGGAGGGCTGCACTTCTTGGGCCACCACAGAGATGTCCTGGGCCAATGTGCAAAGATCTTAGTTAATATTAACCTGTCAGACCTTTCCAAGCATATCTCACCACATGCCTGGGGATCATCACCTCCCCTGACATTTTGCTTAGCTAGGGACTCTTGAACTGTCAGGGATGGTTTCAAAACTTCCTTAGGAGCCCGTGGAGGTCTGTCTCCCTCCAGTTGACCAAAGTCTGTTCTCCTGATCCATGGCAGAATCTCAGTAAAGGGCCTGCAAAGTTCCAAATCCCACGTGAGGACTTTGACTCATGAGTCATAAACTGACACTTCCCAACATCATGGGAAGTGGTGAGAACAAGGAGTTGGACATGGCTGAGGCTGACACCGTCACCAATTCCCTGGCTGACCAGCCTGTTTCCTCATATGTAACCAGGAAAATGACAATGTCCATTTCCCTCTGTTATCAAGAGGTCCACTGCTTCCATCCAATTCTCAAAGGAGTCCTTGACAAGCCCCCAAAAATTCAAACCCCTCCCCTATTTGTTTCTCCACCATAACCTTCTCCTGTATTTACCCACTAGTCCCAGACAGTCCTTAGCAGACCTGTGACTTCATGGGTGGTCAAAGGTTTAATCAGATACACCACTGCGTGCTAATGTTTAGCTAGTGATGCTCCCCCAGGGTTAAGAATATCTTAAGTCTGTTACAAATCATGTGGCTCCAGAAAGGTGGTCAAAGGAGGTGGACAATTCTGAGGAAAGCCTCTTCCCTGCACCAGTTGACTTGTGGCTCTCAGAATAGGGTTCTTGTCAAAATTTTGTCTCCATAGGACCCACCCAGAAATGCTCAAAATGAAGCTTCCTGGGCTCTGCCAGAAGATACTGATCCTAGATCTGGGGTGAGTCAGGGAATTGACATTTGACAGGGACCCCAATGATTCTGCTGCATTTGGGTATTGGCCTGCCAATAGGGAAAGAAATTTCTGAACACCTGGACCTGCACAGTTTTCTCCCAAGTCTCAGTTTCTCCTCCTGCATAATATGAAGTGTAGTCCAGCTGCTTCCTAAGACCCCATATAGTTTGATGGTTCAACACCCAGGCTTGAGTTAGAAAGCCCAGGTTGAAATCTGGGTTCTTTCAACAAAATTGACAAATCTTTAACTAGATTGAGCAAGAAAAAAAGAGGAAAGACTCAAATTACTGCAATCAGAAATGAAAAAAGGGATATTACTCACCTTATAGGAAAAAAAATTTAAACTTTTAAGCAAAACTATGCACAATTATATACCAAAAAGTTCGCTGTCTTGTTAGTTCTGTCAGGTTGATTTTGAATCATGGTGAAGCCATGTGTGCAGAACTGTTCCATGGGGTTTTCAATGGCTGTGACCTGTCAGAAGCAGATGGCCAGGTCTTGTTCAACGGTGCCTCAGAGTGCTTTCTTACCGCCAATCTTTTGGCTAGTAGTTAAGTATCTAACGGTTTGTGCCACCCAGAGATTCCAACAAATTAGCTAATCTAGATGACATGGATATATTCCTTGAAAGATACAAGCTACCAAGACTGACTCAAGAAGAAATAGAACGTTGAATAGACCTATAATATGTAAAGAGATTGAATTAGCAACCAAAAAACTTCCCACAAAGAAAATTCCAAGACTAGGTGGCTTCACTGGTGAATTCACCAACTGTTTAAAGAAAAATTAGCACTAATCTTCCACAAAAAACAATAGCAGAGGAGGGAACCCTTTCCAACTCATTCTACTAGGTCAATATTACCCTGAAGCAAAAATCAGACAAAGATATCACATGAAAACTATACACCAATCTTCTTTATAAATGAAGACACAAAAATCCTCAACAAAATACTAGCAAAACCAATTCAGCAACATATGAAAAGGATAACATGCTATGACCAAATGGGATTTCTCCCAGGAATGGAAGGTTGGTTTAATCAATGGAAATGAAGCAGTGTAATACAATATATTAATAGAATAAGATACAAATCTGGGCTCTAACATTTATTAACTGTGTGACCTTTGGCAAGAATGTTGCCCCAAGAATGTTGCCCCTTTGAACAAGTTTCTCCATCTATAAAAAAGCAACAGTGATACCCATCTCCAGGATTGTCAAGAGAGTGTCATTAGATAATGTACATAGTAGGTGATCCATACATAGTCATCTAACCCTAAATGCTGATCATGTATTGATCTCTTGCTATGAGAATCCTTTAATTTCATAATATCAATGTGGTTGTCTTTGGGTGGTGCAAATGATTAAGCCCTTGATTGCTAGCCAGAAGGTTGGAGGTTCGAATCCATTCAGAGGCATCTCAGAAGACAGACCTGATGATCTGCTCCTGAAAGGTCACAGCCTTCAAAACCCTGTGGAGCAGCTCTCCTCTGTGCACATGGGGTCACCATGAGATGGAAATGACTCAACAGCAACTAACAACAACAACCCTGTCACTGTTTTGTGCTGTCAAGTTAGACCCAACTCATAGCAACCCCTCTTTGGGTTTCCGAGGTGGTATCACTACGGAAGTAGATTGCCCAACCTTCTTTCTGAGGAGTGGCTGGTAAGTTTGAACCACCAGGCTTCTGGTTAGCAGTCAAGTGCCTTAGGCACTATGCTACCAGAGCTCCTAAATGCAATCATTTTAAGGAGAGGATCCACTGGGAAAGGTCTCATTTAAGAACCATGAACCATGAACATGCTCAATCCTGCCTCCAAACCTTTGTCCCCAGCTACCTCTGATGGAAGTGACCATCTCAGCCTTTTGTGCCATTGCAAATTCTCTCAGTCTGTGTGGCCCTTCCTCACATGTGCACTGCTCACTCAGTGTTTTGGAAATGATGAGTTGTCTTCACATTTAACCACACATGCTATTCAGGACTTCACTGCTACTCTACCTGTTTCTAGCCTAGTATTTCAGGCTTAAACACTTTGCTTCTCTGGGCTCAGTTTCATGATCTATAAAAGGGGACCACTTTGTTGCAAGGAACAAGTGGGAGACGGCAAGAGATGGAGGCAGGCTAGGAAGCCAGGATAGTATGTTTGAAGAGTCGGTGTTCTTTATTTACCCCCCGCCCTGCCTGGTCCTCAGCTGACTCACTTGGCTGGGTGGAAGATGGCACTCATCTCCTCTGCCAGGTGTCTCCGAAGGATGTGCTTCCCACTGGGGATGCCCAGGGCAGTGGCCATGGCCTCGGCATTGAAAGTGGGTTCCAGCACCAGCACGGCACCATGGACGCCGCTATTCATCAGGTTGTCTGCATACTCCTGAGAGCAAAAGAACGAATTCAGTTAGCCCAAAAGGGTCTCCTTGTCAGGCTCAGAGGGTCCCCATGTTAGCCTGAGAGACTGTCTTCCTGAGGAGGCCATGCTGTCTCCTATGAAGATCCCCCTATTTTTCTGAGAGGGCCACCATGATAGCCTGAGAGGATGTCTCCAAATGCAAGGGCCTGACTCTCTTGGGGGTCAATTAATTTAATAGTGAGGGAGAACCCTCTCACACCTTTAGAGCTATGAAGGCAAGGCCAAAACTATTAGTCACTCACATATCCCAGACCCCAACAGGCAGCCCATAAATATGTGTTGAATGAAAAAATGGTCCTGGCCCTCAACCCCACCCTTGCTTATGAGAGGGAGGATGGTTCAGTGCTCCCCACCTCCACTACAGGAAGAGCATCTTTTCATGGGGGTCCTAATGCTGGGGACTGAGCGGCCCCTCCTCTTGATTGACAGAAGCCAGAGTATTCCTACCAGGCTGGGCTACAGTGCCTAGTTCACAAAGATACTGCTTTACATACAGATCTGCATGTGATTTGCATATGCCTGGGAGTCCCCTCTCCCACCTGCTATTCCCCTCATCCTACCCACCAACCCCACTCACTTTCAGGTCGATGTCTCGTACCCACTTGAGCACCCGCTGGTTGGTCCAGACCACAGGATCGATGTTCTGTGTCTCACAGCGGGCCCGGCGCTCCTGGAGGGCCTTGTGGGGAGACAGCTGGGTCAGTGGGGAGCAGGGCAAAGGAGCACACAGAGATCACATGGGGGACCCCAGGGGGCCAGTGAGAGGAGCCAGGCCAGCAGGAGGAGTCGACATGGTCTGGCCATCTGCATCTGCTGTAGCCACATCACTCCCTGGCTTGGCTTTCATCCTGGGCAATGAGTAGAAGCCTGCTTCCTGGGGTGGAGGAAGCCTGGAGCAAAGTCACCTGTGCCCAGGAGTGTGGGGCTGGTGTAGGAATCATAGCAGCCCCTTGTTCTATACCCTTGTGCCCACCGTATCCTGCCCCAGCTGACCTGGCATAGGCAAGTGCTCTATGAATATTCATTGAGAAGATCATGAGAGGCAGAGCTCCTGGGGTCTGCCAGGTCTCTGAGGTCAGGGAGTGTCAGTGTCACTTAGCGTAAAACATCTCCCTTGGCACTTTGCAGAGAGGGGTCAGCCTGGCCCCCTCTTGTAAATCTCCATAGGGACTAGTTCTCTGCCCTCCAGTCTCCTCCAGTATGCCTCAACCAGCTCCCTAGCCAGTCACACCTCTTTCCACACTGTACTGCAGTAAAGTAGTAAGTAGTCATTTCCTGTAATGACTATCTTTCATATCTGTCTCCACCTCACTGGGCTCTCAGAGGCTATGGACTATGTGCTGGTCATCTCCTTGTACCTAGAGCCCTGCAGTAGATGGACCCAGCAGGAGCTCAAAAAAATAAAATAAAATAAAATAAAATAAAAACCAACTTGAGAACTGAGTGGCGGGCTAGATACCCTTTCTTCTCAACTCTGAATGGCTTGTGCTCTGCTCTTTACTCTTAGAAAAATAAACCACCTGAACTTGGCCCTCAGGCCCTCAGGCCCTCCCTCAAGGGACCATTTAGTTAGATTGCTGGGCAGACCATGGCGGGCTGAAGTAGGAGCTTAGAGATCTCAGAATCAGGGGAGCAGTATGAGTCTAAACTCTTCAACACAATCCACAGCCTCCCCTTTCAATACTCCCCTTGAATCTGGCACTCAGTCACATAGAACTCAGGTCCTCTCTGGTCACAGACTTCCTCCTCAGGGCCTTGGCCCATGCCATTCCCTCTGCTGGGTTGCTTTTCTCCTCCTGTCTTCTATGGATTGATCCCTGGGATTTTGGGGTCTCAACCTAGCTGTCACTACCTCTTGGGAGCCCACTCTGACCCCTGGACTGGATCAGGGGCTTCTTCTCTGGGTTTCCATGAAACTGTGGGCTTCCCTCATGGGGTCAGTTTTCCACAGTGGTATTGTCACCAGTGTCTTTGTGGTTCTCTCTGATAGAAGTGAGTTCTAGAGAAGGAGGGTTGTATCCATTTTCTTCCCTATGTTCCTTGATCGAGCAAGGGTCTGGCCCATGGTGGGTACCCAGTAAGAAGTTGCTGGAAGAAGAGGTGGACAGATGGATGGGTGGATGGATGGGTGGAAGGATGGATGGGTTGATAAGTGGATGGATGGACAGATGGATGGATGGGCAGATTGATTGATAAACAGACAGATGTGCATATGGATGAATGCACAGACAGTGGAGGTCAGAGGGGGAGAGGGGGTTGTGGACGGTGCCACACATACACCCCCTGCCGTGCCTCGGTCCTTACCTCCCTGCTGAAGTTCACTTGGTACAACAGCTCGATCCCCAGCAGGATGCTGACCTGGTGAAACTTTTTCGACACATTCAGGTGCTTTTCCAGGTCTCGTTTCATCAGGGAGTTCAGCATGCGCCCGTCCACCAGGTGGTTCTGGAAGGCCTGAGAGTACTGGTTCAGGCCGATATCATTCAGCCAGGCCTTGGCCACCCAGTGATGGTCCAGGTCTGCAGCCTTGGACAGGCTGGTGAAGGAGAGACGGGGATGGACGGGGCAAGGTGGCAAAAAGCAGAATGGGGCAGAGATGGGCAGAGTCAGAGAGAAACAAGACAAAGACAGAGACGGGGCAGGACACAGAGAAGGTCATAGAGACAAGTGAGAACAAAGAGGAAGAGGAAGAAGGAGCAGACAGGAGAGGAGAGAGATGGGCGGTGGAGACAGAGATGGAGAGAGGCAGCAGCAAAGAGAGAGAAGAACAGAAAGGGATCAACAGGGAGACAAAGAGAAGGAGACAGGAAAGAGAATGAGACACAGTCAGACACACCAACACTGGGGCACCAGAGACACCAGGGACAGTGACAGCGAGCAGCAGGAACAAGCGCAATGGGAAGCAGCATCCCTGGAGAGCTCCCCCCGCCTTGGCCTACCCTTGCTCCCACAGGGGTCTCTGTGGAAACCCTGAAGCTCCCAAAGCCCCAGCCTGTGCTCCTGTTGCTGGTGCCTTCCTCCTTGGCTCACCCTTCTCCCTGCTGCTGCTGTTGTCTTTCTATTTAGAGTCCCTGGGTGGTGTAAATGATTAACATGCTCAGCTGCTAACCAAAAGGTTGGAGGTTCTAGTCCACCCAGAGGCACCTCAGAAGAAAGGCCTGGAGATCTGCTTCCAAAAAATCAGTCATTGAAAACCTTATGGAGCACAGTCTGCTGGAACACACATGGGGTTGCCATGAGTCAGAGCTGACTCCATGAGTCAGTCAACTCCACAGCAATGGCTTTGCTTTGCTTTTTATTTGAAGTGACACAGTGGCTATCACTCAGTGTTCACTTTGACGTGTGGTGTGCCACAGGCCCTGCATGGGGAAAGGTGGCTGTCCTCCTTACTGTGCAAATGAGGACGCTGAGTGCACAGGGTCACAGGGTGGGCATACTTAGGAGTCAGTTAAAACCCATGTTTTGCTCATTCCAAGTCCTCTCTCTTCCCACCTCACTGCTGTGTCTCATTCAGGGCTTGTCCCATTCAGGGCTTGTCCCAGTGCCACACACATAGTAGGTGCACAAAGAATACTTCTTAAATGGATAAAAACTGTGAACAAAAAGTCCCATCAAAACCCCTGGAGGCTGTGCCTGGAGAGGGCAGTCCCTCTGCTGTCATTCCCCAGATTGCCACACAGTGGCAGCCTTGCAGAAAGAATGAGGGCAGCTGACTGCTTCCCCCACCCACCCACCCACCCAACCTGCACCCCGTGCCCCACTGCTGCAGGTCTAAGCAAAATGGCTGGAGGTTCTGCCAGGTAAAAGTGCCGCATGGTCTGAGTGGGAGCCTCTGTGGACCACGAAGGCATCATTAAGTGGAAGGGAAAGTGAGGAGCTTGCAAAGTGGCACCACCCTGCTCCTGGGCCTGGGATCAGAAGCTAGCATCTTCCCCTTTCCCCAGGTAGAGGAATGCTACCTCACCTGCTTCCCAGCCCTGGGGGGCGGGAGGGGTGAGTGGAAGCTGTGATGGACACAGAGGTCTCCCTGTCTGCATCAGACTCTGGGGGTGGTCCTGCTAGTCCCCTAGCCTGCAGACCTGGGTAAGGTTATTAGTCCCACCTGACTCAGCCTCCTTCTTTCCAGTGTCCATGCTCATTCCAGGCACCACCTTCTCTCCCCCCATATGCCTTCTAACAAACAGCATGCCCAGCCACTGGGCGGGTCCTCTCTACTCTCCTTCTCAAGAGGGCAGCCAGAGTGAGTGACCACGCTGCCCTCCTGCTGCTGATCCTAGATGGCTCCTCATTGCCCTTCTGTCCTTTCTTCATTCCAGACATAAGCACTTAGCATCTACCGAGAGCCCTGTGCTGGGCAGATGCTGGCCATATAAAGGACACACCTTCCCTAGGAACCTCTTCCCTGTTTCTCCACCCAGGCTCTCCCATCTCTGGGTGATGGCATTCATTCCCAAGGTTCCAGACTGCATCTGAGGCAGTGGTGGCTCTGTGGTAGAATTCTCACCTTCCAGGTGGGAGACCCAGCTTTCATTCTTGGTCAATGGCATCTCATGCCCAGCCCCCACCCATCTGTCAATGGAAGCGTGCATGTTGCTGTGATGCTCAACAGGTTTCAGCAGTGCTTCCAGACTAAGATAGAGTAGGAAGAAAGGCCTGGTGATCTACTTCACAATTGTCCAGTCCACAACTAATCATGGAGATGGCTCAGCACTGGGCAGGATCAGGTCACTCACTCCCTTGCGTGACATGGATAAAATTCAAAGTCCTTTGAGTGGCCGACAGGCCCCTGCCCTGGCTCTCTCAGACCTCGCATCCCCCAGGGGCTCAGGCTCACTAGCTTCCTGGGACTGTTTCTCAGAATGCACTGCACTCTGTGACTGCATTTGCTCCAGTGCCCTCAGTGGTGGCTCCCCCAGACCCCTGGCCTCTCGCTGGATCTGTTTCCTTCCAGCCTTGCTGTGGCTCTCTCCTCTCACTCCCCAGGTTTCAGCTCAAACCTCCCCTTCCTGAAGAAGCTCTGTCGACATTGTCTGAGCTTGCCCCTGCTGCTGCGTGTTGAATTATTTCCTTCCAAGAGCTAATCACATGCCGAATTTGAAAAGTTAATTGATTTGTCCACTGCTTTGTTTTCTCCCTTACCACTGCACTCCATCCCATTAGCATGTAAGCTCCACCAGGACAGGGACTGTGTCCTTGGCTGAATCCTCAGTGGTTAGCATAGTGCCTGACACACAGTGGAACCTGGTGAACACTTGTTGGAAGAAGGCTTGGGGGGAAGAGGTTCCTAGGGAAGCTGTGTCCTTCACATGACCAGCATATATGTCCTTTCCCTGCCCCTCAGCCTCCTCTCAGTTCACCCAGAACCTTGAGCGGCCCCCAAGGGGTAGGGTCGCCTTGTCCCCTTGCTTCCACCCTGTCTTCCTGCCAGGTTGGCTCCTACAAGAGCCTGCTGAGATCTTGCTCTCCCTGGGAACCTCCTGAGTCCTTGTACTGGGCCAGGGACCTTCTCTGTGCCCTCCTGCGCTTGTCCCACTCTAGACAATTGCTGCTCACCTGACTAGCTGCCCCACTGGACAGACCAGCTCCTGAAGGGCAGGGGCAGGGCAGGGCTTGTCCACCAATGCCCAGGTTCCACCACACCCCGCCCTCCGGCTCAAAGTTAATACTCAACAAGTATTGTATTAGAGCCAAAAGTATGAATGACAGGGGGTGGGGTGAGTGGGCATTTGCTCCAGTCCACTGTTTGGAGTGGTGGCTCCAAACTGGAGCCCTCTGGCCTACAATGAGCTCCATCCTAGGATGAAAAGTCCCAGGGCAGACTCCCTCCAGGCCCTGCCACTCAGAGGGACCATTCCAGGTCCCAGCCCTCCCTGTTCTCTGCTGGGCAGAGGTGTATGGCAAGTATGGCCTGTGCCCTGGCTGCCACACGAAGGGAGGTATCACTGAGCAGTTTCTATGTACCATCACACTTTCCACGACTAGCTGAGAGAGATCATTCGGTAAGTTAAAACGAACCTTTTCATATTTGAAAGCCTCCATGGGTCAAGGCAGACTGTGATCTTGCTCTGCTGAGTGTAGAAAGAGAAGAAACTAGAAAAAAATGACTTTGAGCTCATCATAGACTAATTTTCAACTGTGAAGCAAGGAAGGTGCAGTTGTAATTTTCATGTAGCGCCATAATGTGTTAAGTAAAAGATTAACGAGCTTGGCTTGTATTTTTGAGCTGCTATTATGGTTAAGTTATCTACAAGATGGGTGTCAGATGTTTGTACAGGGCACAAATGCAGTGCTTCCCATCAGCGCTATTTTCTGTAGGCACGCCTCTGCGTGCAGGCAGGAGCTGGAGCTCACAGCCTGCTAGGTCAGATGCTGTTGGCTTAGAGCGGAGACTGATAGGGACTGGGAGTGCCTCAAGAAAGGGTTTGCTCAGCACATCAATGGGGCAACAAGACTTGAGGCAGGAGACTGCAGAGGGGCACCTTGCTTACTCTACTTGAGAGAAGCTTGTTTAGAATCAGCAACAACCATCTGCATGCCAACAATTCATGAGTCCTGCCCTTCAGCAGAGTCCTCTTTTCATTAGAGTGGTTCCCATGGGGCCTCAGCTTGGCAACACTTCTCTAGCTGTTGGTTTGAGCTATTGTAAGAGGCCAAGCTGAATAAAACAGCATGGTTTTAAAAGTAATTCATTTTATAAAGTGTGTCTCTGCCCCCCCCCACCTCCCAAACTGGGGCCTGATTAGATATTGAAAACTGAGCATGAGCACAGAATTTAGACAACTGGGTCATGATTCAACATAGACAATGCAAGGCTATTCAGCTTTACTATCCTTTGCTCTGCAATCTCGCACCTCTGTGCCTCAGTTTCCTCATTTGTAAAACGGGGACAATCATGCTTGCCTCATGGAGTTGTAAGGACTAAAAGAGACAAGGAATGTAAAGCCCTTAGCACAGAGTAGGGTGCACTGTGTGTACTACTAAGTAATAGTAGTAGTAGCCATCATTGTTGTTTTTAATGAAAGAGTGGCATGGAATAGTGGAAAGGGAATGGACTTTGAAGGAAGATTGTGTCCATAAGTGATAGGTGATGGGCAAGCCAGAAAGAGGTCAGTGGGTTTCACGGTAATATTTTATAGACAAGGTGAACTGGCCCAGAGAAGGCAATGCCATGACCAAGGTCATACAGGGTGTCATGGCTGGAAATGTCAAAGATGCCCAAAAGTTCCATGGTTGGGTTGCAGGGTCCCAGAATGCAAAGTTGTGAAGTTTTGTATATTTCTCCTGAGCATAGTGTCAGAGTTTTATTATTATTATTCAATTACATTCTCACAGGGGCCTTGGCCCCAAGAAAGTTTCCTAACTTAACCCCCTTCATTTTACAGGTGGAGGGGCAATGTCTAAGCAAGATCTTAAAGGGGCCACATGGTTTCTTCTTGCCACTTACAGTCCGATGCGAGAGAAAAGAGATAGATTTAAAAACTGAGCCGTGCAAAAGGAAAACAAAATGTAAAGATCTGGAAAATTCTGTCGTACCAACTCAGGACACATGTTCTAGGATTTTCACCAAGGGCAAGGCTCCACAATCTTTTCTTAAAGAGGTGAAGCCTGTGGCTGGTGGATTGAACCAACTATCACAGCAGAAATTCCTTCAGCTTAGACTGAGGAGGACAGACACAGGAGGCAAAAAGGAAAGCTGTCTGCCTCTTGGAGCTCTATGGGCAGGACACAAGCCAGGGGAGCTGGGGAGCTGCATCTGTTGGCCTCGCTTTGCTGTACTGAAGCCGCGACCTAAGTTTCTGAACGGTCTGGTCTTGTGATTCCAGTTGCCCAGGGGTTCGTTGCACGAAGGCCCCTCTCCCAGACACACTGCTGTGGCTTTCCTGCTTCCAAACCCGCCTGGGTCCTCCCACATCCCGCTCTTTCTCTAATCCACAAAGCTGGTTCTGCAAATAATAGCACACACCACCAGGTTTGATTAATTAACTGCACAAAAATGATGGGGAAACCAGTGAAGGAGATAATTATGCAAAACAGAAAGTGTCACATTTACAAAGCTTGTTCCTCCCCCTTCCACACACCCGGGATGGGGTGGGGGTGGGGGCTCCTTCCCTTTCCCTTGGAGCTGCCTGGGGAACAAGGGCCCCCAGACAAGTTCTGGCTCATACATGTCTGGAGCGAGGCAGGCAGGAGGTGGGGCTGGGGTAGAGGCTTCAGTGCTGGGGCAGTGTGGTCTCGCAGGAGGGTGAGGGAGGAGGGGGCACACCTGAAGGGAGGGACCTCCAAGTTGGTGCTGCCCCCTCCTACCCGCCCCTATTCCTGTTGTTGAAGCAGTTTCAATAAGCCCCTTCATGCCCATTTTATCTTCTCCATCTCTCTGCATCTCGCTGCCTGGTGCAATCTTTCCTTACCCTGGAATGCTAAGACCTGAGGTTTGACACGGAGTAGGTGGAGCAGGCATTTTGGCCCAGTTCACAGGCTGCTCAGGTTACCTGCCAAGATGAAGGTGTTCTGGGGGTTTGTGTGGCTCCCCTGCTTCCACACTGGGGTGTCACAGGGCATGTTGGGCTTTCCTCCCTATGAGCCCAATACTGGGAAGGCTGGTTCAGATCAGGGTTGGGCTGTGTCTGGACCCAGCGGCATCACTAGGGAGGTGCAGTCTGCAGTGGGTGACACTCTTAGAGGGGGTGACGCCAAAATGACTATAAAATTTTTGTCCTGAGTTTCAGCAGAAATTTACTATTTTTCTATAAAAAATCCCTGTACAGTTAGTTATGACAGCAAAAACTTTTTTTTTTTTGGTTGTAAGCCTAGCTTACATGTATTGATATGCTGACAAGGCTAAAACTCTATGCTAATTTACTTTTTGAACCTTCTAATGCTCTTTGGTCAGAGCTGTCATTATTACCTAATTACAATTACACTTCCAATCGTGGTTTCATTTGCACGTGCTACAAATATGGGCTGTTGTTTTTGTTGCTATGGATGTTTTTATAGTCTCTGATTTTCTCAAATTTTCTGGTGTTTCAGCTACAATTTGTGGTAATTAGTATTTGTGGACATGTATCAATAACTTTTTTGAGAATAAGAGTAATTAAAGGAAAAGAAGGAGAAAAATTAGAAAAGACTTCTGCTAAGTTGCTAGTAATGTTGTAACTAATAATGCAATTCAATGTAGAAAGATTTTACAAAAAAAGTTTATTGTTAGTATTCATATAATTCATATAATCTAAGAAACATTGTATTTAAACACTTTATAGCTATATTTTCAAGAAGCTCTGCTGGTGTAGTGGTTAAGGCATTTGGCTTCTAATAAAAAAGGTTGGTGGTTTGAACCCACCAATTGCTTCTCAGAAGAAAGAGGAGGCAGTCTGCTTCCATAAATTTATAGCCTTGGAAACCCAATGGGGTCAATATATATGATTCAGAATTGCTTTGATGGCAGTAAATGAGTGTGAACTATATTTATCACATATTATTCTATGATTAAAATTGATAATAAACATTACTAAGGATTATATGGTCTGGTACTGGAGGAGGTCCATGGAAGGGGGTGATACCATGAGTTATCAAACTGGGTAACACCATCCTAAGTGAAGTCACTGCGGGACCACCTGATCAGTGGCATACCAGGAGTATTTTAACTGCATCCTATTGTCCCTCACACTGGCCCAGCCAATAGCATCCCTTCAACCCCTCTGTGTATCCTGGGGTCTAGGGTGGCTGTTCTCCCTTCCCCTGGTGGCTCACCTCCGGCCAGCCTCGGCATCTCGGTAGTCCTCAATGGCCAGGCGGAGCTTGCGCCGGTGCAGAGAGCTGCAGACACCCAGGCCCAGCTCCAGGTCCTCGTCACTCAGGCTCAGCAGCACCTGCTCTCCGAGGAGGGGGACACTGAGTGCCCAGGAAGGGGCTGGGGCAGAAGAAGGACTGTTCTCGGCAATAAGGTCCCCCAGGACCTGCTGCTGGCTGGGGACCAAGCTGCAGAGTCTGCTGGTGCGAGGCTGCCCGTCCCCATCTCTCTGCCCATCTTCCCAAACATTGGAGCCAGAGAGCTCTGGGAGCATTTCTGCAGCCCACCCGGGAGTCTCTGCCCTATGAGGTACAGCAGAATCATTGTCTAGGCCCAAAGAGCACTGTAGTCAAATCCTGTCTCCCTTCAGCCAGGTCCAAGATGGTTATTCCCATTTTAAAGATTAGAATGCTAAGGCTCAGAAGGGTTATGTGGACACTGGAGTCTGAACCCAGGCCAGCAGGCTCCTAAATGGCACCTCCTTCTGACCCCGGGGCAGGAATGAGAGTGGTGGTGGGAAACCAGCCCAGACTCTGGGTTGGCCAGGCTCTTGGAGGGGGGCACCCTACCTTCCCACTCTTCACGTTCTCTGCACAGGCCTTGACATACATGGGCATAGCCATGACAACCTCCAGCCAGGCCTGCACGGTGCCAGCCTTCCAGTGGGACATAGGCGTGGTCCTGACCAGCTCCACGTGTTGTAGCCGATCCATTTGCTCCTCACCCTCCGACAGGCTGAGGCTCTGACGAGTGGGGCTGCACTGGCTGTCAGAGTCTGCAACACACAAGCATGTGTAGCTATGCTGGGGGCACTTGGAGCTACAAGGGCAAGTGCATGGCCATCCCGACTCCCATATGGGCAAGGAGATCAGGGGCTTCAGGTCAAGGGCTGGGCTGTCTCCACCCCTAGGTGGAAAAGGAAGTCAAGGGCTGCAGGGGCAGGGGCTGGGCAGTTGCCCCCCTAAGGACTGGGAAGGAAGACACTTCTTTCCAAAATCCAAATGAGTTTCTTTTGTTTTGCTGCCCTTCCCTAATTATAAACATAACGCATTTCTTCTTTCAAAAAAAGAGAAAGAGAGAGAGAAGAAGAAGAAGAAGAAGAAGAAGAAGAAGAAAAAGAAAAGCAAAAATACTTAGTCCAGAAAGGAATAAAAATAAAACAGAATGTGAAAATCACGCCAAATCCCACACCACCCAGAGACAGCAGCTGTTAGTATTTAGCTAAATACTCTTTGAGATACACACACGCCTACTCTTGCAAACACACACAGACCCACACACTTACACAGTGCCTTCCATTTTATAGTAAGCTTTTCCACTCACAGTACGGAGGGCATCGTTCCATCTCAGTAAATAGAGATGTATCCTATCTTTACACGACAATGGAGCCTCCGTGATTTATCTCATGCATCTCCTATTGATGGGCATGGGAATTGTTTCCAATTTTTCACTATTGCAAACAAGTCTGCTGTAGTCATCTTTGGGCAATTGGGTGATTTGTTTTCTTAGGATAAATGGAGCCCAGGTTTAGTCCTTAATGCACGTAGCCTGTTTCTAGAGCAGCCGTCACAGACAAAAAGAAAGCCTATCCACCAATATTTTCCAACCCTACTCTTTCATCTATGACTGGCGACACCTACACCAGATAAAAAAAATATCAGACTAAACTCGGGGGCGGGGGGGGGGGATCTCTTTCTCTAAAAAAAGGCTCAATAAAAACAAAAACAAACTCAGTATCATGAGAAATGACAATATTAGAAATAGGTTTGATTAGAAATGACCTCAAAGGTCTAATGGGCCATGAGAATCTCAGCCTGTATAATCCTGAGACCAGAAGAACTAGATGGTGCCCAGCTAACAATGTCAACCTCTTGGAAAGGGATCAGAATTGGAGATCCTGAATAGAGTGGGAGAAAAATGTGGAATGAAACTGAAAAAACAAAAAGGGCCAGGATTACCGGCCAGATAGAGACTGGTGAAACTCCTGAGACTGTGATCCCTAGTCACCCTTCAGGCTTAGAACTGGGCTCACTTTCATTCAAATGACAGACAGGCCTAAGAGCTGAACAACTACACCAGGGAGGCGCACTCCTTAGAACAATCACCCACGGGAGATCAGAAGGACTGCATTTGCACAGGAGAAAGCTAGGGAGGCAGGAATGTACAAGCAGGAGAATCACAGGAGGGTGACCACGCCCATGTCCCACTGGAAAGGCGACACAGGGAAGAAGTGGGAGCAGAGCTGTTACACTGCAGGGATTGTAATCACTGTCACAAAACAGAAGCGGGAGGAGAGCAGAAAAGAAATGACCCTGCTGACACTATATAGTCCAGAATCATTCTGATCATGTAATAACCACTTACCCATTAATACAGGTAGGGGACCCAGTTAAAGTAATGGGTATGAAGTACATACAAATGGTATTAGTTACTGAGTTCGGGTGCTGAGAAGAATAAAGCCATTTTCTTCTTGCTATACCTTTGTGTATTATCAAAGTTCTTTAATAAATATGTTTAATTTTTATAATAAAAAATTTTAAAAGATTAAAAAACAGGAAGCATCATAAATGGTTATTGGTGGGAGTTCAGTAGGATGAACAAGGGTCCATTTATATGTTGGAATGTATACAGTAAATAAAACATCTGTCCCAGGAGAAGAGTATTTTCTGACATGGGAAAATCTTCCCAATCTATTGGCAAGTAAAAGACCTGGTGATCAGCTCCCATAAGGATTTCAAACCCACTGCCTTCAAGGCCATTCCAACTCACAGTGACCCTATAGGACAGAGGAGAATCGCCCTATATGGTTTCCATGGCTATAATCTTTGCAGAAGCAGACTGTCTCATTTTTCTGCCACAGAACAGCTAGTGGGTTTGAACTGCTGACCTTTTGGTTAATAGCTGAAGACTTAACCACTTCATCACTAGGGCTCCTTACCATAAAGATGACAGCCTAGAAAGCCCAATGGGGGCAGTTCTAACTCTATTACATGGGGTTGCTATGCGTCAGAATCAACTTGATGGCACCCACCACCACCAGCATATATATGTACTCACATATATTATATTATTTTAATTAATATGTTAAAATATACGAACATATTATATAAGGTGGCAAGTGCTTAAGGCATCTAACTGCTAACCAGAGGGGGTTGGCAGTTCAAACCCACCAGCCACTCCTTGGAAGGAAGAATGGGTAATCTACTTCCGTAGTGATACTGCCTCAGAAATCCAAGGAGGGGTTGCTATGAGTCGGATCCCACTCAACAGCAGTGAGTTTTTGAGTTTGTCAGACACTCTGTGGAAGGAAGATGGGGCAATTTACTTCTGTAAAGATTTACTCCCTCAGAAACCCAATGGGGGTCGCTATGAGTAAGAAATGACTTGATGGCAGTGAATTTGTTTTTTTGGTTTATAGTTATTTATTATATAGAATGTAATGTATTATATGTAACTATATATAAACTCTAATATATAGTTTTATATATACAATACTAGATGGATAAATGTTAAAAGTCTTTATCTCTGGAAAGGGATGGTAGGTAATTGTGAATGTGTGTATGTGCAAAGGAATATGGGGGGGAGCATGTAAGAGTGTGTGAGTGAAAGTGTGTTTGAGTGTATAAAGGTGTGTATACTTTTCTATTTCCCAACTTTTTTGCATTGATTATTATTTTTGAAATTGGAAAAAAGTTTTTTTTCAAAAAAAAGTTTTTTAAAAAGTTTTTAACTTTTTCAAGTTGTAAGGCTTTCTTCCCTCCCTCCATTTTAAACTCTAAATTGGCTACACTAGCTGATGACCACACACTCACCCATCACCCCCAGCTCCATGGAACCTTTCTTCCAAAGGCCTGGGGATTCTAATTGTCCAGTCAAGAGCCCTTTGGAGCCCACAGCCATTTTGCTAGAAGATGCTGCCCAACTCTGGGCAGGCGTGGATGACACCTTGTGCCTCAGTTTCCACCTCTAAAGCTGGCACAATGGTGCTCTCTGCTGCCTGCCTTCCTCCCTGGGCTGATGTGGGGGCTCAGAGACAGTAGGGGTCACAGTGGGGGCTGTCTATCCTGGGAGGGGGAGGTGTTGGTGGGTCACTGACAACGTGATGACATTTCTCTTCTCAGATGGGTTGAAGGCCTCTTTGTCTCAGGAGATGGCAGACGGACATAGACCTCTCTGCAGGGGGCCAGTCTGATCACACATGTTGCCATGGTGCCCAGAACGGGATGTCCAGCAGACACTGTTTCTGCAGCACCACCTGGGCTCTGCAATTCTGCCAGGTGAGAGTGCCTCTGGCTCAGGGGCACAGACCTATACCAAGGAGTCCCTCCTGTAGGTGGCTGGGCCCAGGGACCCTCAGGGCTTGCAGGAAGATCTTTCTGTTCTGGTCCAGAACACCCAGTCCACAGGGCTTGACCACCTGCTCCTCAGCAGGGTGTTCTTGCTGGGCTGAATGACCCCCACCTCCCAGAGACCTTCAACCTTTCTGGCCTTCCCACTGTCTTGTCCCTGTAGCTGAGTCTTACCCCCATTACATCCATCTGGGGTGATAAGAGGTGACAAACTCAAAAACTCACTGCTGTTGAGTGGGATCCAACTCATAGCAACCCCTCCTTGGGTTTCTGAGGCGGTATCACTACGGAAGTAGATTACCCATTTTTCCTTCCAAGGAGTGGCTGGTGGGTTTGAACCACCAGCGTTCTGGTTAACTGTGAAATACCTAAGGTACTATGCCACCAGGGACATCTGGCCAAATCTAGTTACCCCAAATTACAAGACATGGTCCATGTTGTCCATTTGGGCCAGGCCTGTGGAAAGAAGGCAGGCCTTGGAGTTGAACAGACTTTGGCTTTCAACAAATATCTTTGCCTCTTGAGGTCTCAATTTCTTCATCTATAAAATGGGTATGACAACAATATCTACCTCTTAAGTTGACGTGAGCATTATAGACCCTGCGTGTGAAGTACTGGCCAGAGTGTACATCCAAAGGAGGCTATTAATGGGAATAAGAGGAACTTTCCCTGGGGTTTGGATACTTCTTGGTCCCACCTAGAAGGTGGCTGTTGCAGTCTCTGTCCTCTGCATTTCTGAGTGAAATGTGTCTTGAGCTCTTGTTCTTGCCCAGAGAGGAAACCTACTCTCATGTATTATCTAGCCCAGCTGGGAAGAAATTCATTGTTTCAGTGGGACTCTGACCTGGTCTGGGTGTTGACTTAGTGTTGTTTGGCTGTTTCTGCCTAAGGAAGGGAAATAAGGGGGCTTGAGAAGGGCGAAGAAAAAGGAAGATGGGAAGTAGGACTCAGAGAGAGAGAGAGAGAGAAAGAGAGACAGGAAAAGAGACTCCAAGAGAAAGCCTTCAGAGAATGAGATTGTTAAGAGCCATTGAGTTGATTTCAAGCCATGGCGACCCTGTGTGACACAGTAGAACTATCCCAGGGTGTTTTCCAGGCTGTAATCTTTATGGAAGCCAAGTCTTTCTCCCACAGGTTGAACCACCAATCTTTTGGTTAGCAGCCGAGTGCTTAACCACTGCGCGACCAGGAGAGAAATACTGGCACAAAAACAGAAACAGCAAAGACAAGAAGATGAGCAGGTAGAGGAGAGAGAGAAGACAGAATGGGAGTGGAGAGGGAGCCACAGAGAAGTGGACAGAGAGACAAAGAACAAAAGCAAATTCCGGGCATATGTGTGTGCGTGTGTGTGTCTCCCTGAGTGCAATGTATTTTGTGAGCGTGTGCAGGCTTTTCTGTAGCTAATAGGCCTTAGGCTCATGCAGGG